ATTACATTGCCCTATATCTAAAATAGGAATAACTATTATAAAACTCTGAAGTTCATTAGGTGTTCTAAAAGTATTTACTCACTGAGTTTGACACAGAAATGAAAACATTTGGAGTATGTACCTGAGACTGAGGGCTAAAAAAGAGCAGCAATTCAGTTAAGTGGCAGATCAGGGCAATAACTGTAAAAACTCATGGCTGGGTCAATGTGTACACATGAGAAAATTAAAATTCCTTCAGAAGTGTCCAGAAATACTGGGGATGGGAGTAATAGAACATTAGATGGTTTGTATGGTTGTAGAAAGCTACTTTTCCAATGATTTGACAATTCAGATCAATGATTTAGCCTTTCGGTGGATAGGTGCTGTGAACAAGTAGAAAATAAGTAGGGAGTTGTAAAGAGGTTTTAATCTCAAACTGATAGCTACATTCTGACTTGAAAGGTGAGAATCTCTAAGGAGTTTACTTATTATGAAGAGTAGAGCAATGTCTTCTTAAAGCAAACACACAGATTTTTAAATTCTAATAGTTCAATTTTTGCCATTAACCAAAATGCTGTTAGCTAAACAGAACCAGGCAAAGGGGGAGGGGGACGGGTGACAGTGGAAGGTATCCTACTACAAAAGGGATGTGGAGGCACACTTCCCCCATGCATCCCCAGCACAAAGGATGGTGAAGGGCAGATGAGACACACTTCCTTATTAATCTAAGAAAACAGAGCTAGTGAAAGGTTGAGGCAGGAGGGCAGAGCAGGAAAGTCAGTGTTCACACCACTCTCACAGAAGCTGAATTGACCCTTAGTTTCTGGAGCATGTGGGGTTCAGGGATGCATTTATCTTGAAAGGGGAGGTCAGTTACAGAAAGCTAGTCAATAGAAAATCTACCATAAAGTTTGTCAACTATTTCTTGTGAGCAGGACAAGATCCTACAAAAAGTAGCTCAAAATCCTGAGCTGCCTCCTGATAACAATGCCAAGACCTCATCTTGAGGAAGTACCTCCAATTTTTCACAGTCTTAAAAACCAAACAACAAAAAACCTGGTCCTGTAGAGTTTATTCTAATTCATGGCAACCCTGTATAGAACTGTGCTCCACAGACAGGGTTGCAAAAAGCTGATGTTTAAAAAATGGAATTAGATCAACAGGCCTTTCTTCCTAGGCACATTGGTGGAGACTTAAGCCTCCAATATTATGGTTATCAGCTGAGTGCATTAGCCATTGACACCATAAACTCCTTTACAAAGCATTGGATGGTTCAAACCCACCAGTCATTCCATGAGGAAAAGATGAGGCTGTTCCCATAAATATTTACAGCCTCGGATACCCTATAAAGGTTGCTCTGAGTTGGAATGGAATTGATGGCACTGGATTTAGTTTGGTTTCATAGTTGTTGCCTATAGAATCTCACTGGGCATTATCTCCAACAATTTGGGAATTGCTCAGGAGTCAGATGCTCGCTGAAGACTAGAAGGGCTACAGAGTTATAGCTCAGGGTCAAGAGAAGTATAGAGCCTGACACTCTGGTCAACTGCAACCTATACCACTCCCAGGAATCGATAGGGAGCCAATTTCTAAAGTGGCAGCTTAGGACTCCAGAGCCTATTGAGGTAAGGTAAGTTTACATTTATAGTATATTTTGAAGGAGAATTTATTGGTGGGGATGAAGAAGTTGAGTATCTCCCCACTTATGAAACCTACAGAACACTGGATTCTAAGCTAGAAAGTTTCACCTTGGCTCCTAAATTCTCCAAGCCTCAGTTTTCTCATCTATAAAATGGGGAAATATGCTATTTATTTCATACGCTCATTACAAAGGTCAAATGAGGTAAACCAAGCCCAAATGAGGTAAAACATACTACAGATGGAAGGCAATACTAATAGCATGGAATAAGGAAGGGAGTCATTTAAGTGCTTAAACATCCCCAAGGCTTTATCACTTTTGGATTCTTGACTTTCCTACTGAAAGGAGTTGTACGTGCAAATATAACTTTAATTGAAGAGAAAATAAGTGCTTTCCCTGAATTGGTATGGAAAAAGTGTTAAAAGACACCTACAAATAAAGAGTCTACCCTACTCAAAAGAAACAATTGATCATAAGGATGGTTAGCAAGCAACAACAAACACAGACCCTGCTTTCAGCATGGCCTGTGGACTACCACAGAGGTCACCTCTCAGTAACAATAAAGAGCCTTACTTAGTATTCCAGAAAGCAGACGATCTGAAAAGCCTGTGATTTCAGTCATCGTTGGCATAGAAACCTGGAGTATGTGGCTGTGGGAAAATAGAACCAAGACTGGAAACTTTGGTTGCCGAGCTATTCCCATCAGGAAAGCCTAGGTTCTTTTCAATAAATCTTTATCACACAATTCTCTGAAAATTAATAGGTAGCATATCTTTTGATTTTGATTTACAGAGACTAAGGAAAGCAGGGTAAAGTAAGAATGTAGGGAAGTGTAAATGGATCCCTCCAAAGCAGCCTGACTCCTTCTAGCAGTGTTCTTTCTCTCCACACCTCTCAGGCTACCTGCATTATTAAAAACGAGAGAAACCCTTGGAGAACAAAAAAATGGAACAAGTCTTTCTCCAAGACCTGGCCCTCGAATATTACAAAAAAATCTCTGCAAGGTAGTAAAATTCACTAATAAAACACAATAATTTACTGGTGTAACTAATAAATCAGCCGAGCCACTGTTTAAGTCTCTTTGTGTCTTCTACACCACTCTAAAGAAAAGAACGGATAAAGAGAGTGCTTTAAATGTATCTGATTGATACAACTTAAAACCCACCCTTTAGGTAAAAGATAAGATTAAATGAAAATAATATCATAGGTCTGATATAATCTCAAATAAAGCTATGTCAAATTTATAACATTTGCAAAACTTGCGTGCTGTAAAACTCTTCAAGACTATAAAAGCCAAAAATTAATAAAGTAGAATTTGAGTAAGAATTCTATTCACAAGATCCATGGAGTCCAATAGATGGGTAGTGGCTGTGAATGTGGTTCACTGACTGAGAATCAAACTCAGGTCTCCTGTCTGAATAGGGAGAATTCTACCACTGAACCACTAATATCACGATAGTTTCCTAATCATCATAGAACATTCACTACACTATTTTTCATTACAGAAATGCCATGGTTCATCAGGCACACCAGTAAAAATGAGGCACTCATCAGGTAAACACTACTTGCTATCAGTTGCTGTGATGCTCAAATCTATGCCAAAATGTCCAAAAAGTCACTCATGGTACATAAGTTCCAGGGGAGTTTTTAGATTAATAACAGACTATGGAGAAGGAATAGACTGTCTATTTCAGAGAGATTAACCTCAAACTGATCCACCAATTTTTTGCCTTACATTGTTGTCTGCTTTGGAGGAAAATATGTGCTCTTTGGAAGAGTAACAAAGATAGACGATAATTTAATAATGGTAAGAATACTTTCCACCTTTTCCTTAGGAGAGATAATATTTAAATGAAATAATGAAAAGGACAAGGTTTAGCACTTAAAGTGGCTATTTGTAAGTAAGTACTAAAATAAAGTTTAAATGGTAGTTGCACAGTTGCTACATTCATAATACAATAACCATAGTGATTGCATTATAACAGGTAATTACACTGCTATTTCAGATGTGTAAGCCAAAGGACAAAGCAAAATAGTCCTCAGCACTGCATATGCGAACTCAGAAAACACTCAAATATGACCACTGAGCTCCAGTGTCACTGGCCACCATCACTGCTCCTCTGACAGCGCCTCACGAGGACAGTAACTTAAGGCAAAGACTTTGATCTCTTTCCCTGTGTTACAGGGGATAATATATGGAAAAGTACTCACTATTTTTGTTGCTGCTATTATTATTACTGTTCATACTTACCACTCCAGAGAAGCCACACTATGCTTTGTAGAAAAGAGAAAGTAGGGAGCAAGTTTACTTTCCTTTTCTATTGTGGCCTATTGAAGTTTCCGTTCTTAAACCTTTCCATAGTTCTTTACATTATCTTCATGCTTCCCTTGACCTCTGAAGCCAGTTTCCACCTTTATCTCTATTCCAGACCCACCCAAGCATCCTAATCCACACAACTATTAGAATTTCCCAAGATTCCTCATCTCCTCTGAATGGATATCACTGTACACAAGTATCTGAAAGGCCTTGCAGACAGACTCCTTATGTTTAATGACTACCTGGGGTGAGATGAGAGTTAGAAGCAGCTGTTAAGAAGCAATGTGTGGGAATCCTGATATTAGAATGAGTAAAGGCCCCTGCCTTAGAGATACCAGTTGCAGGAAGTGGACTGCAGTGTCAGATCGGAAACTTGATTCCTTCAGGCCCATTTCCAGACTCCAGTCTGTTTGGTCTCAGTATGAAAGAATAACATTGGCAACAGCTACTGTGGACACAAGCAGCTAAATTTAAACAATCTCTTGTTCAAATAGTAGGAAACTACATAACTGATCTAGACTTCTCCCAAATCAAGGCCAGTGCAAAGGAAATTATCAGTGTTCAAAGTAATACCTAGAAAGAATGAGAATTAACTTGATCAAATTCCAAAGATATAGGTTCAATACTGTGTTCATTGGGGCCTTACAGTTGTCTCATAGGTGTCTTAGGGGTTGCCTGAGACTAGGGGGAAGTGTGTGTGTTTGCGTGTGTGTGTGTGTGTGTGTCTGTGTGTGCACGCGCTCCCATTATGAGGAAGGTGAGGAAAGGCAGCTAAGAACCTCCCATCCCTACTCTGGTGGGACTTGGGTACATGACACATGCGTGGTCTCTGAAGTGAATGATACAGAGAAGGGCCAAACTGAAACACCCTAAAGTGATTCTAGGTGTTCACAGGGATATTTTGCTTCATTATTTTTTATAGAAAAAGAAAGATTCCCCTTACAGTCAACAGCTTTTTTATGAGTGTCTTAAAGGAAAAAAAATGTTAGAACTGAAAAGAATAGAAAGAAATATATCTCAAACAAAATCCTCCCACTGGTCATTGGAATAAAAACCCAGGCTTACCTTGACATACTGAACCAGGCGCTCACTGATGTTCACCTTGTATGTCTCCAAACCCAACTCCTTTGATAGTCTTAAAATCCTGTTTTGGGTTGGTCCTATGTAAGCTCCTCCAACATCTACATAATTAACATGTTCATTCTAGGGAAAGGGAAAAAGTAGTCAGAATACTTTAATTAAAACGTAAAGAAACATTCCATGTCTTAACTTAAAAACTTTTTTCTTTAAACGCAAAGTACAATTGAAAATAGTAATTCTTTTTCCTTTTTACCTCCACTCAAGATCCGGAGAATGACATTCATCTCTAAGTGGTCCCATTTGGATTGGTAAGGCAAATTCAGCAATAAAATGTATAAAAAGCAAAGCAAACTGAAGTATATATTTTGGTCTCAATCACTTTTAAAGCCTTTTAAGTTATTATTATTATTTTAATAAATCATTTTATTGCAGACTCTTACAGTTCTTATAACAATCCATACATCAATCATCAGTTGCATCAAGCACATTTGTACGGAAGTTGCCATTATCATTTTCAAAACATTTTCTTTCTACTTAAGCCCTTGGTTTCAGCCCCTGTTTTTCCCTCCCTCCACAATGCTCCCACCCTTGAGAACTCTTGATAAATTATAAAATATTGTTATTTTCATATCTCACACCATCCGCTGTTTCCCTTCTCCCATGTTTCTGTCATTTGTCCCCTTCGGGTTGTGTGTGGGGGGTATACATTGATCATTGTGCTTAATTTTCCCTTTGTCCTCCTTTTACCTTTATCTTCTCCCTCTCCTCATAGTATCACTACTCCTATTATTGTTCCTGAGGGGTTCATCTCTCCTGGAGTCCATGTGTCGACAGATCTCATCTGTACCAGAGTACATGCTTTGGTCTAGTAGGATTTGGAAGGTAGAACTGGTATCATGATAGTGGAGGTGAGGAAGCATTAAAGAACTAGAGGAATGTTGTTTGTTTTGTGGGTACTATACTACACCCTGGCTACCTCGTACCTTCCTTGTGACCCTGCTGTGACAGGATGTCCAAGTGTCTACAGATGGGCTTTGGGTCTCTACTCCAACTCCCCTCATTTGCATAGATGTAATTGTTTTGGGTCTTCTGATGCCTGATACCTGATCTCAATGACACTTTTTGATCACACAGGCTGGTGTGCTTCTCCCTTGTGGAATTTGCTGCTTCCTTTGCTAGGTGGCGCATGTTTAACTTCAAGCCTTTAAAAACCCAGACTCTGTATCTTTTAATAGCCAGGGACCATCAGTTTTCTTTACCACATTTGCTTATGTACCCATTTTGACTTCAGCGATCGTGTCAGGAAAGTGAGCATCACAGAATGCCAGGTTATTAGAATAAAGTATTCTTGCTTTGAGTGAAGAAATAAGTAGAGGCCCAGTGTTCATCTGCTACATTGATACTTAATATATAAACATATGTACATAGGCCTATCTCCTTATCGTTATGTATTAATATATTTACATTTATACATGCCTATATTTATACCTCTATAAATGTCTTTTGCCTCCTAGTTCTTTCCTCTATTTCCTTTTATTTTCCTCCTGTCCCACTATCATGTTCAACCTTCATTTGGCTCTCAGTAATTCCTCTCAGCTGCACTTGATCAAACCCACCAGGGGTTCTACACCCTCCTTGACATCCATTTCAGATGCCTTGTTGTTCCCTTGTCCCTGGGTTTCTTGGCCCCTCCCTTCCCTTTCTCCTACCTCCTCCTCTCTTGTCTCACAGGAACCATTGGTCCCATTGTTTTCTCCCCAGAATTGTTTATTTTGTCTATCTTATAAATAGTTCCAGGTCTTTCCGCTGACCCTTATGAATGTTTTCTGATTGAGTTTGATGAGGTGCCAAACCCTGCTCGCTGAGTCTGAAGTAATTATTATATTATTATTATTATTATTATTATTATTATTATTAAGCTATTATATATGTTTTTCATCTGTGTTAGTTAGATATAATTAGATTTTAAGCTAGTGATAACTAAAGATAACTAAGCTGAATTCCTTCATGTCTAACAATGAAATATCATATCAATCCCTTCTGATGAGGTCTTTATCCTATTTTAAAATACTTAATAGGAAAAGTACAAAAAGGTAGAACAAGTTCATGGATCTAATAAATTATTTACAAATATGCAAACTACGTTTCCTAGCTAACTAACTGTTTGCTTTCCCCTATTAGAAGTAGTTTTACACACTTTCCAGCTTTTTCCCCCCTCTCCATGATTTAGTCAATGGATTAAATATTGAAACGCTCCAACTCCTGCACTATTTTTTAATAGTGTGCTATATTTATTATCAGTTCTTATTCATCTTACATTTTCTCCTCAGCTGTCTGATTTTTGTGTGTGCACCACTCACGGCATTTTTTTTAAATGTAGAAATAGTTTAATTCCTAAGGGATTTATTCCTCTATTTCTCAGAAAGGATTTATCCTTGCTCCAGGTCACACTGGCATCCGTTCACAATAACAATACTACCTAATCTTAGTCCATTTTTATATCTGAAGTGATTTGAAGGAAGGCTGAACTACATATGTAGCTTGATCTCTTCCAGTTCACCCTTACTCATATTAGGCAGTCCCACCCAAAGTGCAAGGAAGTTACAACATTCGGAGGGCTCCGCACTTGACTTTTTGTCACTTTAACTTTATAAGACTACCAAAAGCACTGCTTCGACTCTTAGCAGCTTCTTCGATGGTCTTCTTCACTCGTTCCCACTTCCAGAAGAAAAGTAGGTTACACCTTCTCTGGATTTGAATTCTTTCTAAATATTGACATAGTGATTCTTCACTACCTTATTGGCTCTCTAATATGTTGAGGATTTAGGTGTGAATGCATGTGTTAAGTGTATAAAGTATAATTTTCTTGTTCCCAGAATATTGAGTTTAGTATCACTGAACCTGATCTTCTCAGAATGACCCAGCCTGATATCATAGTATCTATTGTAGGGTATTCTTTGTTAATAGTTTGTTTACTGAGATTAAGATTAGCCTGTGATTTTTGTTTTCACCACTGTCTTTGTCTGTTTTTGAGTTACTCACTGCCACTGAGACTATCTAGAATTTGACTTTCAGAGCTATATATCTTTACAAGCACAGATAGCCTAATCTTTCTCCCTCAGAGTGGCTGGTGAGTTTAAACTGCTGACTTTGCTGTTGGCAGTTCAACAGTTACTTGGCTCAACCAGGGCTCCTGGTACCCACACGTGGAAAATCGGGGAAGCCAGGTGAGCAGGGGACCAGGAAGGGAGGAATCAATCAGAGGTAACAAAGAAACAAAAAGCACGAAGAAAGCTGCCCGGCTATCAAAAAGTATAGCATCTGGGGTCTTAAAGGCTTGAAGGTAATCAAGAGGCCATCAAGCTCAGAAGCAACAAATCCCACATGGAAGAAGCACACCAGCCTATGCAACCACGAGGTGTCGAAGGGATCAGGTATAAGGCATCATCAGAACAAAAAATCTTACCATAGTGAATGATGGGGGGAGTGCGGAGTGGAGACCCAAAGCCCATTAGTAGGCCACTGGAGATCCCCTTGCAGAGGGGTCTCAGGGAGGAGATGAGCCAGTCAGGGTGTGATGTAACAACGATGAAAAATACAACTTTCCTCTAGTTCCTAAATGTTTCCTCCCCGCTCCCACTACCATGACTCGAATTCGACCTTGCAAGTCTGGCTAGACCAGAGGATGTACACTGATACAGACAGGAATTGAAAATACAGCGAATCCAGGGCAGATAAGCCCTACAGGACCAGAGGTGTGAGTGGTGAAACAGGGAGGGTAGAGGGAGAGTGGGTAGGAAAGAGGGAACTGATTACAAGGAACTATATGTGACCTCCTCCCTGGGGGACGGACAAAAGAAAAGTGGGTGAAGGGAGACATCGAACAGGGCAAGATATGACAAAATAACAATTTATAAACTATCAAGGGCTCATGAGGGAGGGGGGAGCTGGGAGGGAGGGGAAAATTGAGGACCTAATGCCGGGTGTTTAAGTGGAGAGCAAATATTTTGAGAATGATGAGGGCAATGAATGTACAAATGTGCTTTACACAATTGATGTGCTTAAGGATTGTGATAAGAGTTGTATGAGCCCCTAATAAAGTGATTAAAAAAAAGAAACAAAAAGCTCCAGGAAAGATTTATAAGGGGGGAAAAGTACACAGGGAATATCTCAAGGAGGATAAGATTATAAAGGTGAAAAAAAAACACCCGACAATGGAAACTAAGGGAATCTGAAGGAATGGGAGACATAACCCTATAAGCCCCAGTGTAGCATCACTTATCTTGGGACATGAAGGTCACTGTTTTTGGGGGGAATAGCATAGGTAGAAAGTGTATAATAGCTTTCTTTCCCCTAAATAGGAAGAGTATACCTATGTATTAGTGTACTTCTAATCTCATTAATTAGTGATCAGACTCTTCTATGTACTCTGGGAGAGTTGTTTGTAAAGAGAATCATCTATTCTTCCAGAATTTGGTCGAAAATGTTGCAGAGCGCTTAGTGTTTTCTTTGTGGGAAAATTTTACAGATTCAATTTATTTTGAGGTTAAAACACTACTCATATTTTCTTAAATCAGTGTTAATTTGATAACTTGTATTTTTTATAACATACATTTCATATATATTAAGTCCTAACCACTAGCATTGCAGACATTCCTTTCTCATATACTTCAGGAACGCTATAATATCATACTCAATATACAATAATAATTCCTGACATATATTAATGAAACAGATTTTCTCGGGCAATAACATAGATGGAACAAGCATGTTAGAATTTTCATTTCCTTTTACGAACAAAAAAACTTGTCCTAAATTGAGTATTTTCAACATGACAGATAGACCTTTTTAATAACCAGGTTTTAAAGATAAGAAAAGTAGGGCTAAGGGAAAATGTAATAACTATCGCCAAAATGAAGGAGGTTTTTCAAAAAATGACAGAATCATATCTAATATGGATATATATATATATATATATATATATATATATATAGAGAGAGAGAGAGAGATTTTAGTCTTCTAGAAATCCAGCTTAAGATAAACACACTGTTTTAAATTACAATTTGAAGTTTTAAGGGAATCTAATACACATTTAGATTGTATCTAATTGTTCTGATGAGTAAATGGAAATTTAAGGTGCTAATAGCACTTCACAAAGATAATACAGTATATTGGGCCAGTACAAGAGTAAGAACCCCAGTAGAATCTCAGTAGAATCCCTAAATCAACAGACTGCCAGTAAACCATATTGGAGGGAAGTAGCTAGAAATTCTCCAATAAAATAAACCAGGATTGATATTAATTTAAAGTAAACAGGAAAGTACATACAATAGAGCACTATTTCTCAAACTAATGTGCACATGAATCTCCAGAGGATCTTGTTAAAATATAGATTTTAGAATTTGAAGATCTGGAGTGCGACCAGAACCCTGGTGGAATAGTAAGTTATGTGTTGGGCTGCTAACCAAATGATCAGTAGTTTGTAACCATCAGCTGCTCCACAGGAAAAAGATAAGAAGTCCCAATCCCATAAAAACGTATAGCTTTGGAAACTCAAAGGACGGTTGCATTCTGCCTATATAGGGGAAGCTAGGAGTCAGAATTGACTTGATGGCAGTGAGTTACAGTAGAGTAGGGGTAAGAACTCAGATTCTTTAGTTATAAAAAGTTCCCAAGTGATTCTGATATAGTCAAAAATAATAGACTACAGTTTGTAGAGAAAGGTTACAGAGCACTTTTAAAGCTGTGCAAAATGCAAAAGGACAAGTACAACATGAGTCCGCTGAAGTAAGCTTAAAAAAATGCAAAAGGGGCAAAGGAAAAAAGTTACTGTATACAAAAATTCCTGGGGTGAGGTCCAGGTAGTATGGCAGGAGCCAGACCAAATCCAGGGGTACAATGGTAGCCAACTAAAAAGGAGGGGGAAAAAGAAATGGGTAGCGGGGGAACAGGGAACTAACCCACCCAAGGGGAGGGTACTGGTTATCTCTCCATAGGGAAAGAGGGACCAGGCTTTAACCCAGTGCTAGACAGCTTGACCCTCCCCCCAGAAGAATTTACTTCAGAGGACAGCATTGAAGCTACTGCACAAGGAGAGGGACACGTCTGATCAGAGCACATGGGAGCAAATGAAGGGGGAGGAAGAGAAAGTGGAGCATATACAAGCCCACCAAGCCTTGAGGGCAATATCCATGCTCAGAAAAGCCAATGAACAGAGAGGACCATATGGCCGGCCCCACTACGAGACAAGACATCCTTCACTGACCCATAGCTCTACAGGGGACAACACTGGAGAAACAGTGTGGGAATTGCGTCTGATCTGACCCCACCACACCGAGGCAAAACACTAAGGGGGTGC